TTGAAGTTTTGCTCATGAGTCAGAATTGTCGTTGTATATTTTAGGCATCATAGATACTCTAGTCTATCATTTTGAAATTATAATTACCCAAAATGTGCACAAGTGTGGCCTAAAGTAGGTAATATTGGGCATGTGCTGATTTCCTTTAGATTTCCATGATAATATGGTATATCATAGATACTCTAGTCTATCATTTTGAAATTTTAATTACCCAAAATGTGCCCAAGTGTGGCCTAAAGTAGGTAATATTGGGCATGTGCTGATTTCCATGATAATATGGTATTTGTTTCAAGGTTTAGGACATCAAGCAATCGAGTGTAAACTAGGTGTTCGTTTCCTAAAGGTTAAAAATCTGGAGAAAGTAAACAACGTTGTTATAATTGTGTCACCAAATGATGGTGATATCGTCAGCATAATATTCCCAGGTTCGTGGCTAATTCTATACCTCTTGGTTTCACTTCAACCATGCAGACGTTGCTGATTATTGCCGAGTGTGAGGTTCATAGTTAGAAAGCCAGACGTTGCTGATTATTGCCGAGTGTGAGGTTCATAGTTAGAAAGCCAGACGTTGCTGATTATTGCCGAGTGTGAGGTTCATAGTTAGAAAGCCAGACGTTGCTGATTATTGCCGAGTGTGAGGTTCATAGTTAGAAAGCCAGACGTTGCTGATTATTGCCGAGTGTGAGGTTCATAGTTAGAAAGCTTTCTATTCGTAAACTCAGTCATTGAAACCGGGAGACGTTATTTTCATGATATTTAGGAACGTAGACATAAAAAACTTATTTCAGTATGAAATATACTGCTTGAAGAAAAGGTACCAGATATATTCCAACACCAGAATACAACTAACAACACTGAAAATATTCAACAGTTTTACAGACTTCTATTTGGCCAAAATGTCTGCTTATTTTTAATAAATATGATCATTATTATTAAGATGGAATACAAATACACTTAACATTTTCAAACTGAGAAATGCATGTTATATTAAATATCTACATATGTAATTTGCATGAGACAGGTTCTATGGACACCATGAACGATTTATTGAAACAGTAAACAGTTTTATCAGACACCTATAGAAAGATGTCTAATTCAGTATTTTATCTACCAAAACAAAGATAATGACGAAATATAGCATCAAATTATTGTAAATAGCGTCTTAACCTTCCATCAGTTCATATTAAACATTCAATACTTGGTTGGTTTTCCTCGCACTCTAATAACCTCAGCAAGGCGACGTGGCATACTGTTGATAAGGTTATTGATGTAATCCACCGTGATTTCATCCCAATTTCTGACTAGAAGGTGCTACAACTTAGCTAAAGTAGCTGGTTTAGAGTCGTGGTTAGCAATTTTCAAGCTCAGTTCTGCCCAATAGTTTTCAATGGGATTACAATCTGGAGACTTTGCTGGCCATGACAATCTTGTAACGTCCTCCTGGTCGAGATAATCATGTACAAAATGCACACTGTAGGAAGTGGCACTGTCATCCTGGAACACAAAGCTATTGCCAAACCTTGCCCTAGCATATGGCACAAATATCATCTCCATGTGATGTCTGTAGGAGGCGTCATTGACGTTTCCCCGAAGGATTTAAAGAGCATTTTTTTCCACCATGATGAATAGCCGCCCAAACATGTACTGCATCACCTCCTGTGTGTTTCCTGTAAGAAAAACATTTTTCCCTCGTATGTTCTTCAGGCAAACGACGAATACGAATCCTACCATCAGCTTTAACAAAGACTCATCTGAAAAGACGACGTGTCCTAACTGTAAGTTGTCAAGCTGTCTTGCTCAGGTAACTCGGTGACGGTGGTTAATTCTGGTTAATATAAGTTATAATATAACATTGTTTGGTCAGTCTCAAAGTCACTGATCTTTTGGATATCCTGAAATGAACTTGTTCATGCCATTCCGTTCGTAAGGTGTTGAACGACTTTTTTTTCGACCTTGACATATTAACCTGATCGAAACACGGTCATTTCGGAAAGTAGTTTTCCGACGTCTATCAGTAGACTAACCTAGAACAACTTTTCCTGTAGTCCGGTGACGTTTCAGGATTTTGGATACAGTACACTTGGGAGTACCCTAGTGTTCTGGCAATGTCCGTTTGCTTCATACTATTTTTAGACAGTGAAACAATTTAATGCTCTATCACTTCTGGCACGTGACGAGGCATGACTCTACATAAAGTACAGAAAAATTATCTGAAAAAAGTGTTGATCTGTTCCTAAAAATTTATATGAAAAGCACACCGTTTTATACAAAACAAGTGTGAATTTGTGTTTTGACGAACAAATGCTCAAAACAAGTTATACAGACCAGAATACAACTCGTACATGTTTCTACGCTACCTTCTCTGTTACTACTCAATAACTATTCCATGCACGTAGACAGTAACATCAATATAGAACAGAATGCAAACATTTTGGCCAAGAATGTATATATATATATAATAGAAGC